GCTGAGCTTCTCTGCCCTAGGAGCCTGGGATGGAGGCGGGGAGCTTGCTTCTGTGTGGTTGGACCGGATGAGCTTCTCTGGCCCTCAAACATAATTTCACTCAAATTGACATCTTGACATATTGTTCAACAAACATTTACTCAAACTGTATTTAACAAGATTCTATCATGTAATGAGCCAAAATTTCCCCCATGTAGTATTTTTCAAGCACTAGGGACACCTGTTAAACATCTTCCACACCATTCTTTTTTTTTGTGGTACCGGGGATCAAACTCGGGTCCTTGTGCTTACAAGACAGGCAGCGTAACCACCGAGCTAAATCCCTGGCCCTACATCATTCTTTTTTGTTTTATCTTCAAAGAGAAATACTCTCTATAACGGGATATACCATGTGCTAAAACATCATAACACTCCATTTTTAGGTCTCAAAAATCTTATTTCCCAAGTCTTTCAAATTAATTTCTATTTTATGTCTTTGTATTCATCTAAAAATTTCTTTTTTTTTTGTTTTGTTTTTGGTACCAGGGATCGAACTCGGGTCTTTGCGCTTGCATAGCAGGCAGTGAAACCACTGAGCTAAATCCCTGGCCCTTAAAAATTTCTTCTTAAATATAAAGTTTGAAGGTAGGCATGGTAGCAGATGCCTGTAATCCCAGCACTCAAGAGGCTGAGACAAGAGTGATCACTCTGAGTTTGAGGCCAGTTGGGGCTATGTAGTGAGTTTAAGGCTACCTTGAACAACATAGTGAGACCCTGTCTCAAAAAACCAAATAAAGGGGCCAGAGATTTAGCTCAGTGGTTTCGCCACCTGCTGCGCAAACACAAGGACCCGAGTTCGAATCCTGATACCAAAAAAAACCCAAACAAACAAATAAAGATGGGCCGGGGATTTAGCTCAGTGGGGTGCACCTGCCTTGCAAGCTCAAGGTCCTAAGTTCAATCCGCAGTAGAAAAAAACCCCAACCAAACATACAAACAAAAAAAAAACAAAGAGATGCCAGGCACGGCACATGCCTTCATTCCTAGCACTAAAAAGGTTGAGACAGGAAGATAACTGAGATTAAGGCCTTTCTGGGATACATACTGAGCTCAAGATGAGCCTGAAGTACAAGGTGAGATCTTGTCTCAAAATAAAACAAAGAAAGTTTAGGATGAATCTAATTTTAGTATCAAGTATGGGGAAGACAATTCATGATTTGCAGATATTTTACTTTCTAGAATATATTCACATCTCTTCTTTTGTTTAAAATCAAATATAAATGACATCAAAGTAATATTTGGCATCTGGTCCAATTAGAATTTTACTTTTTTTTTAAAGAATGTATGTATAGCTAAGGACCTGAGTTCAATCCCCGGTACCAAAAAAAAAACCCCCAAAAAACAGAATGTATGTATAGGGAGGGGCCGGGGATTCAGCTCAGTGGCACCGAGCCTGCCTCGTAAGCGCAAGGTCTAGAGTTTGATCCCTGGTATAGGGGGAATATATATATAATATATATATATTATATAACTATATAACAATTTGAGCCTTCTGTTTTAGGCAGCTTTAGCTGAGATTAAAAGAAAATTGGAGAAATTTGTTTCATACTTTACTAAATAAAATACCTTTACTGTAGGAAAGCCTTGCTGGGTTCTATCTTTTACTGAGCCACGGCTACCCTCAGTCAGGTACCGAGCTCGGTGCTGGGTCTCAGGTTGTACAACTATTTTCAGCTCCTTTCCTTCGCTTTTAACAGGATACTGTCCACACAACATAGGGCTCTTCTTTACTCCCGTTCCTTTTTGATTGTCTAATGTTCTGAGAAATCAAAGAACATGAAGAAAATATTAAAAACAGTTTTCTACAAAAGCTATCTAATATAAACAGAATAGACAATACCATTAACAACAACTGCTAGCCTACTGACAAAATAAAACACAGCCCAAAGGAAGATATATTCCATAAGCAAAATACCTTTTAAATTTTTAAACAAAATTTACTTATCTAATGTAAAAAGAAAGTTGGAAAAGAGAAAGAATATATATATGAGTAAGGAGTAAGATTGAGTACAATAAAGTTTAATACTTCAGGCAAGATAAAATTTTAAAATTATGTATGAGTCTTACATAAACATAAGAGGTTAACTATTATTTTCTAATCAAACTTGCAAAGCAAAAGAACTAAAACCCAACACAACACATACGTACGTACACACAACACACACACACACACACACACACATACACACACAGTCCTTTAAAAAAAACAAAAGGCTGGGGATGTGGCTCAATGGTAGTTTTTACCTAGAATGTACCAGGCTCCTGGATTAATCCTCAGTACAATCGCTACCCCCCAAAAAAGGCCTAAAATAAAGATATTTACAGTATATTTTTTTGAATCTCTTTCTCAATTATCAAAATGAGAAAATAAAAAACAGTGATTCAATTTTTATTGAATCACTTTGCTCTTACTGAATAAGCTTTGCTCTAAATAATCTTTCTCAGAAGTGATTTTTCAGAGTATTTTTATTTGTGCTTAAATAACCAAAGGTTTCAATTAAAAATTTTATAATTTGGGCTTTACAGCATTAGAATAATTTTTATATTGTATTTTTAACATTTGTTAACAATACATGTGCTAGATGGAATGTATGTTCAAATAAAAACAATATCCCTAAATAGTGGTTAAACTTCATGGGAGCACACTCTCTCCATAAAGTAACTGAAGCAATGCAAATATATGCTAACTAGAAAATAATACTGTCAGGCTGGGGATTTAGCTCAGTGGCACCATGCCTGCCTGGCAAGGGCAAGGTCCTGAGTTCGATCCCCAATACCACAAAAAGAAAAAAAAAGAAAACAAAGAAAAGAAAATAATATTGTCACTTTTTTCTTTGAGCAACATCAAGTAGATTTAAAATTATCCATGTACATTTTAAATAAGGGCCTATAAAGCTTTTTGATTTATATTAAAGATTCAGAAACCAGGGGACAATGCGGACAAAATCTCCTTCATAAATAACGAGATCAAACACAGCAGAGCTAAACAGCCATAAATCTCACTCTAACGTTTACCCCTGTGGGTGGAACCACGTTGTTGCCTCAATCATCAAGAAGAGAGGGAAGAAAGGCAGTACCCTCAACAGAAATGAGGACTGGGTTGAACCTCTTGAGTAGGAAAAGGACAGAAGAATGGAGGAAAGAAGAGATAGAAATTGACACAGTAATGCAGTAGGTAATAAAGAGAAAAGTTCTGAGGGTAAGAGCTGTGCTTAATCATCTTCATACTGCCTTAAGATTGCACAGGTTCATATAAGAGGTGTTGAAGATTTGTTAATGAAGGCAAGTAGGTAGAAGAAAAGGGCAAAGAAAACCAGAGGGAAATGAAGCTTCTACTGTGTAATTTTTTTTTTGGTACTGGGAATCGAACTCGGGACCTTCCACTTGCAAGGCAGGTGGAGGAACCACTGACCTAAATCCCTGGCCCCTCTACTGTATAATGTTAAGATGAGAAACAACACAACCTAACTAGTCAAGGAATGCCATTCATATAAGTTTCACATAGTTAAGTCAAAGATAGCCTATGTAAGTCCTTAAGAGGCCTTGAAAAAATAAATTCTATGAACAAAATTATCAAAATGGGGGCCGGGGATTTAGCTCAGTGGTTCTAGTGCCTGCCTCGCAAGCTCAAGGTCCTAAGTTCGATATCCAGAGCCCCCCCAAAAAAATTATCAATATGATACAGCCAGATCCATTTAAAAAAAAAGAAGCTAGAACAATAGGCTTAATAAAACCTACTGCTCTTTTCATCATTCTGTGTAGAGATTCAAACGTCCGGTCTGACTAGTGTGTAATTCTGTAAGAATACTTTGTTTTATACTTGTCAACATCAATGCAAAGAAGTCACTCAAGGAAATAACGTACAAACCTTCCTCATATATACATATAAAAGGACTAGAAGATAATGTAACAAAATAATAGTAGCAGCTGTGTTAACTAGATTATAGATCGGCTGTATTTTTCAAACATTTGTAACTGATATCTATAGACTTTGCAACAAAAAAGAAAATTTTAATTTGTAATATAAGTAAAATTTGTATTGTATGTCAATTGGCCAGATGCAGTTTTTATATTCACTTTTGCTAGCTAAGCTAGTATTTTAATCAGGGTAAATACACAAAAGTGACTTTTATTATTCCAGTAAAATAAAATATTTTATTTGAGATGAAGACTGTTGATTGAGTTGACAAAGTATGTATGTTAAGACTTAAGAATAGTACATGGAATTAAAAAATTTCTTGTGACATTTTTTAAGTACATAAAAATATATTACCTGTTTAAATAAAAAATTGGAAAACATACATATCTAGACCTACAGCCAAGTAAAATAGTGAAAACATCAACTAATTATTGGAAAGTTGCCACTGAAATTATAAATACTTAAGGTATGCAGGCTTAAGGGGAAAAAATGACCTGTATTTGGGAACTTACTACTTTTTTTTTGGTACCTAGTGCCGATTGCTGGGGATCAAACTCAGGACATTGAGCATGCTAGGCAAGTAAGTGTTCTACCAATGAGCTACACCCAAAGCTGGGATTTTACTTCTAAATGACAACTAAAAAGGAAAATTCACTCTTATAGCATATTATATTCAAAAGTCTTTTAATGATATTCTAATTCTGTGGTGCTAGATAAGCCTTCTATGTCACAAAAATAATTTTCACTGCAAAATGCCTAAAATAGATTTCACGTGACATCCTATCTTCTAAAAATATCTAGAAGAGACATAGGTCTACTGATTCTCTTGACATTTAGTTGAAGGAAATAAGAATGCTATGGCTAGCAATATTTAAATACTAACCCATATTTTTAAACTGTTTTTTTTTCCAATAAACTTTAAAATTTTATTTGGAAACAATGTATTTCCATCCACAGGTTATCCAGATTCTATGCGGTATTTTGAAGATCTATAGACTGCTGAATGCAACATTTTAAAAAGTATATTTTCTAAACACTGAGCATTATGTAAATTGTAAGTTATGATACATTAGCTAAAATAGATCTAAGGCTATGTAACTTAACACTCAAAACATTTAAAAATTTCATGTTTCTACCATCTTTCTCTTTGTTGAAGAAGACAGGTTATTAGCACGAGATGCTCTGAAAAAACTGTTCAAGGCCTGTTTTTCTATGTATTTTACATATGGTTTCATCCTTTCTTCAATATACTTATTATAAATTCAAATTTGAAACTTCTTCATCATTTCCATATACTAGTGTCAAATAATTTTCCATTACCTAAGAAGCTGGACATTTCTTCTGCTTCTTGATGGAGTTTCTGCTCCATGAATTATTTCATGAGAGATTTTGTCTTGACCAATGTCATTATACTTTCCCTGGGTAACCTCAAATCATTTCTAAGATATATCTATCATACAAAAGCAGAAGCAGAAAAGATGTAGGTCAAGATATCTCTTTAATTAGCAACTGCAAATCACTGTATTAACTATCCCTAAGCCAAAATTTTATTTGCTTTTAATTTGAACCTTTGAAATCTAGTTTAGTACAAATATGAAATCTCTTCCATTAGAATTTCATAAAGATTTTCTCCATTGAAGACCAAATAAACATGTATGTGTTTTTAATGACATTCATAAATCTTTTAGATCTGTGCTACTAGTCACATTTACTTAAGTGACCTATGGTGACCATTATGCTTTAGATCTTTGATTTTTATGCAATATTCTTACAAATATCATGGTCTGGAATTCCTGGCTCTGTTAAATGACAACATTTTAGCAAGAATATCCCAAGTTGTTTTTTTTTTCTTTTTCTTTCTTTCCTCTCCCCTCCCCCTTGGTTTTTTGAGACAGGGCCTCCCTAGGTAGTTCAGGCTAGCCTTAACTCACTATGCAGCCCAGATTGGCCTTGAACTTAAGGCAATCCTCCTGCCTCAGCCTTCTGAGTGCTGGGGATTACACATGTGCACCACCACATCTGCCTTATCCTTTGTTTTCTTTTAGGAAATCTCCTAATCTGGACTTTCTGAAACAGAGAAGCATTTAAATGTGTATTTTTATTTACTAACATAACTCCAAAGGAGTTTTAAATGAAAGTATAAAAGAAAGTAGTATCAACTATCTCCTTCTTAAATGATAGATATTACTTTGAAAATGAGTGAATATTTAAGGACAAGTTTAATATATATTAAGAATATATATTATCTGTAATATTCAACCAGATTTTTAATGTTAATGAGATCAATGATTTCATCAATTAGTAAACCAATCTAAAGCTTCTGAACTGCTTTTTGTGATAACCTAAAATTGTAATGGATTCTGGGTCAACTAAAAGATCATACCTGCTTCCCAAGAGTAATTCTCAAAATTTAGTGAGTTAAATTTTATTAAACTATATTGAATATACAGGGGGAAAATCTTATTTAAAATGTCTAGCAATTAAATATTACAAGTAAAATACTGAATTAAGTTAAAATAAGCCACACTAGTCTGCATTATAGCAGTGAATAGTCTAAAATATAGCTATTGAAATAAACTTAGTGAGTAGTGTAAACTGGTAGAGATGAATGAAAACTTAAACGTGGACTGGGGATTTAGCTCAGTGGTTTCGCTGCCTGCTGTGCAAGCGCAAGGACCCGAGTTCAATCCTTGGTACCAAAAAAAAAAAAACTTAACTGTGTACCATGCTCCTATCTATTATCCTCTCAATAAGTAACCCAGAATCACAGGAAAAAGGTAGTGATTTAAAAAGAAAAAAAAAATCCTTAATTGCACAATGTATCAAAGAAAAAAGGTTAAGACACATGAACCTAAATGAGAATCAAACCATTAGTTTAGTATTTCCTTGTTTTCATTAAGTAAAGAGTAAATACCTAAAATCTTCTAAAAAATGTAATGTAGTGAATCATATAAAAATATAATTTTTAAAAGAATACAAATTAGTTTTTGAAGAATATTTTGAGTTAGGTCTAGCTACTGCCATTACGTTGCTATACTATTTCTATGAGGAAAAATGTTTTAAATCCATTTAAAATTTAAAAATTATTTCAACAGATTATTTTCAGCTGGATGTGCTGGCATATGCCCACAATCCCAGCTATAACTTAGGCCGAGGCAACATAAGTTCAAGGCTAGACCAGGAAACTTAGATCACAAGTTCAAGGCTAGCCTAGGCAACTTGGTGAAACCCTTTTTCAAAATAAAATTTATAAAGGCCTGGGGATGTAGCTCGGTGACAGAATACTTGCCTAGCACACACATAAGGTCCAGGGTTCAATCCCCAGCACCACAAAAAAAAAAATAAAAGCAAAACAGATTATTTTCTATTACCTAACTATCCTCTTAATAAGACACTTGTTCCTGCAATCTACTGTCATTTTTTTTCTTTAGTAAAACTTGGTACTTTTAAGTTAAAATTGTCATTTATTTCAATGATAAAATTAGTACCTTTCTACTTTATATGTGAACTGTAGCTAAGTAATTAAGAAAAATTGGGAATGATTTTTGTTTTGTATAATGGTGACAGAACTTTAAAAAATGTGAATACCAACCCATTTCCAGCTTTTGAGTTGCTTTTGCTGTCCGTAGTAAGCTGAGAAAGCACATAGTGAGGTGCTTTGGCACTGTCGGCATCAAATATATCCATATTAGATTCTTCACAATCTCGTCGTTTGACCCCCGGCCTCTGCTTTGGATTTCGTTTTCGTGATTTACGAGGTACCTCAGTGTTATCATTGTAGGAACTGGTGCTCATGTTACTGAAGTTGGAGGGGGAATCCTCCATCCACATACTGCAGCTCTGCTCAGATTCCAATCCACACCCCTCATCCTGGCAGGACATCCGACTGTTATCCAGCAAGTCCTCAGGTGGTGGTGAGATGTACAAAACTGTGTGCCTCTTCGGGGTTGATGGATGCTGCTGAACTGTGTTACTGGTTAACTGCTTTTCACTTACCCCTCTGTTACTTACCCCCACGGCTGAGGAGCAGCTCTCCACTTGCATAGCCTTGCTGTCGGTGACTGAGGTAGAATAAATGGTAGGGCTGGAAGAGGTGGTAAAGGAGCTGCAAGCACCGCCCATGGAGGAAGAGGAGGGAGCTGAAGAAGCATCTGCAGTGTACAATCCAAGAGTAAATACACTATACACATTTTCACCTATGCTGGCTAGCAGTCCCATTGAAAATATGATTTGTGAACTGATTGTTTTTCCCCAAAATGAATAGTTGGAATTTGGTTAAGTTTTAGAATATAAATGCTTCAAGCAATGTAAGGCCTAAGAAATGTTATTTTTTTAAATGCCCAAATAGCATTATTATACTTGTGTTATAATTGACAGAATTTTAAAATCTAATTTAATGTTTTAAGCTATAAAGCAAGAATAAAGCTTTTACTGCCTCAGCTGGATGTTCTGTTGAAATTTAATCATTTAAAGTAATAAAGAAAACCCCAATATAAAATATATGCTTGTGGTCCACATTCGATGCCAATTAAATAATTCATTATAGAATTTGAAAAGTGGGACTGTGCTTAGCCACAAAATATTAAAATAAGTTTCTAACCTATGAAGCAGAGAACTACAGGTCATTTTTAATGCAGACACTCCCTGCTTCAGAGGCAAATCCTGGAATAAAAATATGAGAAAATAAATGAGAAAAGATCTGCTTATTATTCCAGATATCAATTATAAAATGAGAAATAAATAGAAAAAAATATATAATCAACTGAATTGGAGAGAAAATGGAACTGGTACCGTCATCACTGCAATTGGCTGTAAAATATAGGAGAATAAAGGTGGAAAAGTTTTGATTTGGAACATGCTGGGTTCTAGAAGATATAAATAAGTATTCAGAGTCTCAAGAAGCTTGAAGTAGCAGTTCAAAACCATAAGTTCTAAAATAAATAAATCCATCCTTTAAGACTGAACGAAGGGCCAAGGATTTAGCTCAGTGGTTCCAGCGCCTGCCGCGCAAGGTCCCGAGTTTGATCCCCGAAACCAAAAAAAAAAAAAGACTGAATGAAAAGATAAGGACTTGTTACTAGGTGGATTCTCTTATAAATTACTTGATTATATGCCCAGAAAATGGTTGCCACTATCTATCTGCTCCTTCTTTTAACTGTGGTTATCAAGGGAATTTCCTAATATAATAATAAACATGAAAAATCTCGTAAGAATGAAAAATCTCTGGAGAGCATCAGAAATACTTTTTATTAAAAGATTTTAAAAAATATAAAACCATCTATATATTCTGCCTAGCCAAAAAGATTTAAGTAGTTTTTTTAGACAATGTGGCAACTGGCAGTCACACTGAAGATAATGCTTTGGCCTTCAAAAGCATAATCTTAGAGTTACACTAATATTCCTTAGACTGGAAGTTGTCATTGGTAAATGTATACAAATAACATTTTATCTTATACAAGATATGGAAAAGTTTATAACTGTATACACACAAAAATAAAAATAGATTATGTGACAAGGCAACTAAAAGATGTGATTAAATCTAAAATTAATTTTATCTTTTAGCCACTTATACCACAGTCATTTTAGTGTGTACAATAAAGTTGTGATGTACTTGTTATAGAAACTGCAATTATTCATATTCATTTCTTAATTCATTTTCATCTTCATATCAATTATAAAGAGGAAAATATAAAAATGTCAATGTTTAGATAATCAAAAAAGGCAAATGCCAATAGTTTTTTAATTGAAAACATGTCTCAAAATTATTTATTTATTTGAAAAAACTACAACCACCCAGATTTTTTCACTCCTGTCAAGGCTAAGGAACACAGTATTAATATTAGCCATCAAGAATGTGATCTATGGGTCAGGGATTTAGCTCAGTGGTTTCGACGCCTGCCTCACAAGCTCAAGGTCCCAAGTTCGATCCCCCGTACCAAAAAGAAAAAAAAAAAAGAATATGATCTACACAATTTCACACTGGAAGATTTTTCCCCAACTACTACACATCAAAGAATCTAAAAGAATTAGATGATACCAGTTCCATTTTCCAATTTGTATCCTTGTCAAATGCAGTAGCTGAAATTAGAAAATTCAGTCACTTTTAAACTGCATTCCAATTTAAAGAAAAATTTATCAATTTTGTATCATGCAATGCTTTCTTAATAAATATTTTTAAAGATCTGCAAAAACTACAAAATCTAGATGCTAATGTCAGTGACAGTTTAGGAGCTGATTTGTAGCCACTTTGGGTTTAAATATAATTTTCTCTTTGCTTTTTGAAAAATTACGACAGAACTCATTTTAGAAAAAACAGGAAAAATATGTCTAACATTCCTCCATTTGTTCCAACTATTGGCAAAAACAATACTAAATGTTTTTGTGTGTGCCTATGAGCCTATGCTCTTTTATTTTCAGAGAAATACAAGTAGACAGCATGCAATATTTGCAGTGGAACATACATACAAAGCATGCAGCGTTAATGCTGTATTTCTATAAAGCAGCTTTCCTGCCAGAATCCTTTTTGAATCTAAGTATTATGCATAGAAGAATGAAGAATGTGAACATCAGAGATCCTTGTCAAAGACAGATGGAAAGTACTGTATATGTGAAAAGCAATAATAAATTCAAAAGCAAGTTATATGGTTATATTGTAATTATATGAACGTGTGTATACCTGTGTGAGTGTTTGTGTGTATAATTTCCAAAGTGACAAGAGCAAAAAAGTATTTTGGTTAAAAATTTGGCCATTAGCTACAGAATGATAAAAGTGAAGGACAGTCTTTTGTTATTTATTTATAACAAGCCCCTCTCAACAACTCTTGAGTTTACACTAGTAACATGATTTTGGAAAGTCTCTGGTTAACCACAGGATGGGGAAGCTGGTTGCTGGAAACTAGCCATGTGTTTAGAGGGTTAGAATTCACAGCCTTATCATCCCACCACAAGGGAAAGACCAAAGGCACCAAGATTGAGTTGATCATCAATGGCTAATGGTCTAATAAATCACATCTACATAATGAAGCATCCATAAAAACCCAAAAGAACTGAGTTCAGGGTGCTTCCAGGGAGGTAAACAAGAAACATATCCATGTGCTGGGACTGGGAGAAGCACAGGCAAGCTCCACAGTGATTCAAGTTTCAGCATTCAGTACCCTTTCTAGACTCTGCCCTATGTAACTCTTCATTTAGTTAATGTTCCCTTTAAAATATCCTTTATAGGGGCTGGGGATTTAGCTCAGTGATTACGCTGCCCACCTTGCAAGCGCAAGGACCCGAGAGTTCGATCCCCAGTACCAAAAAAAAAAATCCTTTACAACCAGTAAACATTCAGTGTATTCCTGAGTGCTGTGAGCCACTCTAATAAATTAATTGAACCCAAAGAGAGCATCATGAGAACTTTGCTTTATAGTCAATCAGAAATCAAAATTTGGTATGTGTATTAATTTGGCAAATAAATGTAGGTCGAAGAAAGAGCACACTCACTACTCAAAATGCTTTGAATATGTTATTACAATAGCATTATCTGACACAGGGAAAAAAACTAAGGGTTTAGAGTTAACTATTTGCTATTTCTACAAAGACAGTGCTAATACCTTTCTTTCCTAAAACTATAAGCAAAATGATATACTTGTATATTAATCCATAAATAAAAATCTTTAATAGTGTCCTAATTAAACTGTAAATACATATATAAATGACATTAAGAACCTTTTAGATTTCTAAACACTAATTTGTCAATTCTAAGCATTCCCAGAAAAGCACTAAAGAATACTCCTGGGACATTGTAAATGTACTTGAAATATCTATAAAGACTTCTGAATCATTCTTATTACTAATATAGCAAGAAACAGTTCAACTGATGGTCAATAGAACTAAAGTGCAATACAACCCTGCCCCACTTATATACTCCTTGTATTTATAATTTCCTACAAACAAAATATGCTAACTACTTCCTCACCACTTTTAGTTAGGAATGTAGAGTCTATGTTTCATTGCTGCATATTAAAAACACAGAAACTCCAACATAAAAATGTTTTAATATTGCTTTTATTTCCTCAATGAGCAGAGTAATTATATGCATTTCTACTTCATAATTTTATTTGTTCTTTAAGTCTCTTGCAAATTCTTTATAAACCTGGAAATTTTTTTTCTTTTTTGGTACTGGGGATCAAACTCAGGTCCTTGTGCTTGCGGGGCAGGTGGCGACACCACTGAGCTAAACTCCCGGCCCAACCTCGAAATTTTTCTTAAAATTATTCTCTTATCTAGGTGGTACATGAATACATTTTTGTTTTTGTTTGATCTTTGAATCTAGTCTAGTTTACATAGGAGTCTTTTTCACACAGCATTTTCTGTGACCACAGAGAATACCATGAACCAAAGGCAAAACTGATGGACCAATCTACAATTTACTAGTGGAAATATATAATCTCAGAGGAATAGATACTTATTTATTTGTACTGGCTTTTGCCCTGAGCTACATCCCCAGCCCTTTAAATTTTTTAAAATTTATTTTGGTCAGGGTCTTGTTAAATTACCCAGTCCAGGCTGAAACTTAGTATGCTCCTACCTCAGTTTCTCAGAATGCTAGGATTAGTTATATGCCACTGAATGTGGATTAATTTTAAAATTTAAAAGTGAAGAGCTTTGTATCTATAATGTTCCATATTTTATAATTAACTAGCAAATTATCTGACAAATGCTAGTCATGATGGTGAACGTGAATTGTCCATATGGCTTCTTTTAAGAATTGATGGAAGGCGGCCGGGGATTTAGCTCAGTGGTTCCACTGCCTGCCTCACAAGCACAAGGACCTGAGTTCAATCCCCGGTACCAAAAAAAAAAAAAAAAAAGAATTGATGGAAGGGGCTGGGGATATAACTCAGTGTAAAATGTTTCCCTAGCTTGGGTGAGGACCTGGGTTTGATCCCCAGCATTGCGGGTGTGGGCAGAATTGAAGGAATCACTAGGGACCATATTCAAAGTAACTGAAAGACTGACAGATAGTATCAATAATGGGATGCATGGATATCCCTGAATCTGCAAATATTATTCATTTGATAAGATGAAAATGGATTTTAAATGTTTCTATGTATAGAAACTTGCACAGTATTATATACCCACTGCTTAAACTGTATTTTAAAATTAA